GTGTGTGTGTGTGTGTGTGGGCGCCTAAAATCCGCCATACCTTAATAGTTGGAGCCAGTACAGTGGCAGAATGTGAAGAAAAGGCTTCGCTCACACATGCATATTTAAAAAGAGGGGGCTGGGCTCATAGCCTCCAGCTGTTCTTTTGATGTTGCCTGTTCGCCGTCGAAGCTCCATGATTAGCAGGTCAATACCCCAGCAGGTCACTTTGTTAAATACTTATTACCAGCAGTGAGCACAGTCATATGGTGTGGCTGAAAGACATCCATTTGTGCACGTCACACAGCTTTCAAACCGCTGGTTTGTTTTTCTAAATTCAGCAAGACCCATGAGAGTCACTTGAAATTTTTCTGTTTTGCATTTTAGTTATTGTTATTATTAGACTCAATGTCAGTAGCTTTAGCTTAGTTTGTGTGAGTGTGAATGTGTTTGAGTGTGTGTGTGTGTGTGTGTGTGTGCTTGTTTGCATGTTTTGTAAAAGTGGCTGTGTGCAGCTGTGTTTCCTGCCGTCTCCAACAGATGTTTCACATCTCCACCTCCACCCCCTGCCAACACATTTGCCTCCAAAAAGGACTGACAATGGTCTTATTCAGTGTTGATGTTCTGTTCTGCTCTTTAGTCTCTCTCTTTTTATTCAGAGTTTTCATAGATCACAGATTGATTACAAGAAGATCATAACTGAGGAGGTAAAAACTAACAGGACTGTATTCTTTATTTAATTTGTTTTCAGGCAAGTTTGAAAAATCTGTATCTTATGATCGTTATTAATGGATGGATATTAATTTTGACAAAATGAGAGGTGCTGTCATGCTGTCAGAAATCATTTGAGCTGCAAATGTTGATACTGTGACTGAGGGGATTTGCCACAAGCTTTCATCAGAAGAGAAAAAACAATTTCTCCTTTTGCTTTTTTTTTCTCTTCATATTGAGGATGTGGAACTTATTTAACACTAATACATTTTCACTATCGCATGGAGTGAGAACTCACAAATCAACTGAGGTACCAATCCGTTTAGTATCTCAAAACCCTAATTTCCAATCTGGGATCGGGATAAAAGATGAGTTTTTAATGGAGAGAGTGTCATGCCTGCTGGCTTCCACCCATCTACAACTCATTTACACCAGTGCTCCTGCTCTGCTTGTTAAAGCTGAGACTCCCTGTGCATAGCAAAGCCTGCATCCTTCATGCTGCAAGTCGATGTGTTTAGTCCCGGCTCTCACAAGGTTCCTGCAGGCTGTTTCTCTTCCTGTGGCCTCTGGGCTATGTGGTCGCCTTTGAACACATTTTTTCCCCCTCACATTTCTCAGCAGCAGCTTGCCAAACAGAGACTTGCCAATCCCAAAGCTGCTGGTTTGCCTCGCTGCTGTCAACCTGCTTACCCCCCCCCCCCCGGAATGGAACAAGGCCCCGAGGCTACCCCTTTATAAGAGAAGGAGGAAGCACCTTTAACCCTGACTGTTAAGCTCCCCTCGACACCGACCACGTCAGGCTGTTCGTGTTGGACCTGTCTGGTGAAAACATTGCAACACTGGTTGGATTAAGTGGGATGAAATGTCCCATTATCCTTCCTCGGTGTCAACAAGCTGCAATCCCACAGTGGAAAACAGCTAATTTTGAACAATATCCCTATTTTTCGGGCCTTCTCCACCTCTTCTGTCTGTCCTCAGTTGACACCACATCACACCCCCCCAACGCTCCTGCCACAACATTGCCAATTGTTACTGCAGAAAGCACAATGAACTATGGATCACTGTATATTCACAGTGGACACTGGCAAGACACGTGATATTGTAGCAAGCACAATATAGCTGACAAATGATGTATGAATGAATTGATTTAAAGCTGAATTCACCTCCTCCTTCTGTAAAACATTCGTACTCCTCCTCTGCGGTCTGAACTTGACGGAGCTTGCTCGCTGAGTTGGCAGAAAGTCGAGCTGCTTTTCCATGTTTCAGCGTTGCCTGCTGCCTCCCTGTTTGTGTATTAATGATGCGATGTGTAGCATTTCAACATCAATAAATCATTATCATATTAATTAGTGAGGCATTAGTGGAATCGATGTAAACAAGTGTGATGCTGAGAAGACTGGCAGCCTCCACGCAGACTTTTACACTGTTAACATTTGGTATCGAGACATCCAATCTGTAACTAGATCCAGCTGGGAAGGATTGTAGTTCACACCTGGCATTGGCATTTGTCTTAAATGCATCTGAAGTGGCCAAGTGTGATTGGATTTTACTCTCCTGATCACTTTTGATTTTATCTATGGGAGACTGATGAGTATGCACGCTCAGCACTCAGCTAGAGTGCTGAGCACTGAGGAGTCTGATTAGAAAGTGTACTTTTTACCTCAGCTGTGGAGACTTTCGAACCTTAAGAGTTGCTTCAGGTTTGTTTTCACTATGCACACACCATCGGCTGTATTAAATTGTGTCAGGGGTGCATTTGTTATTCTTGTCCACACTCCGTTATGTCCCTGACTGGCTCCAAATGTGGCTTGACAGTTGTGATCGAAATGCATTCTCACATGTATTTAGAGCTGTCTGCTTGATTGTGAATCAGCCAAGATGCACTTTAGCACCAATGGTGAATGTCTTAATTAAAGGGTCAGTGTGTAGGATTTAGTGGCATCTAGCTGGGAAGTTTCAGATTGCAACCAGCTGAACACTGCTGTCTGTATTTAACAAACTGGGTAAATGCGAACGGGCTGTGAAGTGTTTAGGAGAAACTACGGTGGCTGTGAAACTCGTGAAAAACATGAAAGAAAAAGAAATCTACAGCCAGTGTTTGGTACACTAATGAAAACATACCAATGAATATTCCATTTCTGCCAGTACATCCTCCTAAATGTTACACACTGGATCTTTTAGAAAATTCACTTATTTTACCTAACTAGGTACCGTTTTACTTAACCCTTACTTATTGTGTCTGCAGAGGTTAAACTTCTCATCAGATACTTGGTCAAGAAGTGCATTGTATTGGGAAATCAGTCAATAGAGATATTAGATATTAGATATTTTATAAAATCAGTAATTTCCTCTGCCTCGTGATGCAATTTACACAAACTTACTTAAAAATTAAGTTGTTGTTTGTCTTGCATTAATCTATCTTTTTATTCTTTCTTCCTTCCTCTCACTGTTATAACCTCTCTCTCTCTCTCTCT